AACTAAAAATAATAATGGGCCCAAGATTGATCCTTGTGGGACTCCCATTTTCATCTGGGACCCAGCGGAATTAACATCATTTATAGATACTTTTTGAATTCTATTACTAAGGTAAGAGGCAATGAGATTGAGGGCGATGCCACGAATGCCATAATATTCTAGCTTTTGAAGGAGAGTTTTATGGTCTACGCAGTCGAAGGCTTTTGAAAGGTCACAAAAGACACCTATTGCATCTTGTGACCTTTCCCAGGCGTTATAAATATGTTTGACAAGTGCGACGCCCGCATCTGTTGTCGATCTGCCTTTATTGAATCCATATTGCTCATCGTGAAAGATTTTGTTCACATTAAAATGAACTAAAAGTTGATTTAATATTAGCTTTTCAAAAACTTTACTAAGAGATGGCAATATGGAAATAGGTCTACAGTTGCCTGGATCATTTTTATCACCACTTTTGTAGACAGGTATTATCTTACTAAATTTCATAAGATCTGGAAATATTCCAGAATCTATGCAGTTGTTAAAAATAGAAGCCAAATGTGGTGCAATATATGGCATTATTGTGCTCATTAATTTTATGGACATACCCCATAAATCCTCTGTATTTTTAAGATTAATAGAATTCAAAACTTTTATAATATCATAAGTATCTACGTGATTAAATTTAAATGTGTGTAGGCAAGGGGTAACATTATTTCTTAAAACATTAATTGCGTCACATCCACATGCATTTAGTAAAAAGCGGTTATTTTAATATTACAAACAGACATTACAATATTATTTAGCTGTATAGATTAACATCATTTATTATTGCACCTTTATCATTTATACTAAACTATTTAAGCGTGATATATAATGCGTTATAAATAATGTCTTGTAGTAAATAAGTGATCCGGTTATTTTGCATCTGACTTAACTAATTTTAGCTGTGTTAAAGTTGAAAACTAAAATACGTTTTTGAAGCTTCTCTGCACGCATTATTATGCGCATAAAGGAGAGATAAAACATTGTTTTTATTTTTTGATGGGGCTCTGGCCAGTTTCCAAGCGAGTACAAGTTAAAGTTAAGTACTTTAACTTGTACTCGCTTGGAAACTTTAGAAATGACCCCTTAAATAGATTCAACATACAATAAGTTTAATAATTATAGTATTTTATGCGCTTTGTTGTGCAAATGTGCGGAAAGTCGATGGATGCAGGTGGCTCAGGATCGTACTTCATGGCAGTCTACGGGGGAGGCCTATGTTCAGCAGTGGACTCAAATAGGATGAAATGATGATGATGATGATGCCCTTAGAATTAAAGTTGAAATTATTTGACGTTTGTCGTAAGAATTACGACAATCGACATGGACACAATCTAATTGAAAATGATTTTATTACGAGTGTAGAGCTTTGCAACCTTGAGTTGCCTGGAAGAAACTGTTTCCTGTATTTTCTTTCTATATGATTTTATTTCCTGTAAGCAATATATTTTATTGTTATTGTATAATATATATATATATATATATATATATTTTAATATGTGATAATATATTTTATTCTATTCTATTCTAATAGGGCCTTATTAAAATCATTCGATCATTATTCCTGAATCCCCTGACTTTTTAGCTCATTCTCTGAAATCAGTCTTTTATTCTTAATTTTATAATATTACAGATTTTAAACATAGGTAAATAACTAATGAAGTTTGATATTCAGTGTCCAGGTTCTCGCTTTTAATTCAATATACAACTTGAGTTTAAATCCCGGTGCCAGCACCAAAGAAATTGTTAATTTTAAGACATGTATCATCATTTGGGGCGGCAAAAGAAAACACCGCGATAAAACATGCATATTTTCGAAATAATAAACAATTAATATTTCGAATATTTAGAAGTCTGGAGCGCTATGGCGTGGTGGACTATGCCCTAATGCCCTCTCTACAGAGAAAAAATAAAGTAAGTAATCAGTAAAGGATGTTACTATAATTTAAAATACGGTTCATAGGTTAAATCCCCGCATTCTATAGGAATAGAATTGTGGTCAGTGAGAGCACTATATCTTAGTGTGACGTTCAAAAGTCTTGGTTCAACTACAAGTGCCTATTCATACTACACTTTTTAATATAACATACCTATGTAATATTAAAAGTGATTCGATTAATGACATCATTTATAAAATGAATAGTTACGAAATTAAAACTAATCATTAAGAGTTACCGCTTTATTGTTAACGTTTTGCGAAGACATATTTCAACGATTCTTTATTAAGTCCTAGCAACACTGATCTATGGTCGTAAAATAAAACACTTATTATAATATAAATTTTTGTTACCTACTTTGTCACTGTGATTGTTTATTGTAAATATGCAGTATGGATGTACGTTGAGGGAAAAATTTTCCTATAGTTAAGTGATTTGGGAAAAATTTAAAATGAAAATGGAAATTAATCGAGTTTTTTCGATTCGATCTATTATTTCTTGTCCTTTCTCTTTCCTATTATTCGAAAAATATAGTAAAATGAAATTTTCAGCGAGCTATGGAGCAGGCTATGCGCGGTATTTCTCTGCGTGGTAGAGTTAGTAACGAAGATATCCGAAGTATAGTTATAATATAACCTAGTTAGCTTCAGCCTTAGCTATCTAACTCAGTAGGTTAGTAATTTGAAGTCGCGATGGGTCGGCCATATAACTGTTGGAGAACTAAGGTTCTCGAGTGGCAGCCTGTACTGGCCATTGCAGTGTAGAACGACACCTCACTAGATGGAGTGACAATCTGTGGAAGTGAGTGGGAAGTCGATGGATGCAGGTGGCTCAAGATCGTGCAGTTTGTGGAGGAGGCCTATGTTCAGCAGTGGATTCAAACAAGCTGAAATGATGATGATGATGATGATTCGATAAATGTCTGTATTGCCTATAAAACTAAAAGATTAATATAGTGTTAAAAATGTATCGCTGTCAAATTCAATTAATATAATTATAAAAAATAACCACAACGAAAACATTCAGGCTTCATAACTAAAATACAAAACAAACATTTTAACCTTTAAACAAAAAAAAACTAAAATAATTTTTGCCACAAATATTCAATGCCATTAACATTTTATCTGACATAACTTGTATTTTACATTTTAAACTTTAAACAAAAAAAACTAAAATATTTTTTGCCACAAATATTCAATGCCATTGACATTTTATTAGAATTTAATCTGTTTAATAGTTACGAAATTGATTTCAAATAATTTAAAATGTGAAATTGACATAATCGATATATTAATAATCGATTATGATAATAAAAATAATCGATTATTATGAATTTCGATTATTTTTTCGAATCCCTAATATGCAAGGGTCTGGGTTGCCAACTTAGGAGTTTTTTCCCCAGAATTAGGGGGTAAACAAACCCGTTGGAATTTTTTACTGGCATTACATTTTCAGTGTTATTTTTAGGGACTTCTTATATTTTTCTTACGTTCTATTGTCATTTTTTAATAAAAAAAATAAAGGTATAGAAATAAAGAGCCTGGGGTAACGCGGGTAGATTACGTTACACCAGGGTCTTTGTTTCTAAGAATAATAATAATCATGTTTAAGTGTTGGGCTTGCGACATATAGTATGGTTTTTCATTACTAAGAATGTGCAGTTTGTTGATTGTTAATCTCAGATTATACATACTCTTTTGATGTCAACTCTGATCTGTTTGGTTTGTATTATGTTTGATTTACTTCAAATTTGGAATGTTAGTTTTATTTGTTCAGACTGAATTTTGTCATATTTGATTGATTCCGTAAAAATCGCTTAAAGAAGATTAACATGTCTGACATAACTCTTGTATTTTACATAAATTTCATAATGATTAGGTTTTGTTAAAAATAAGTTCAAAATGTTCTAGTTGAAATAAATAGTTTTCTTATTAGTCTTTAAGTGTCTTTTTGGCTTGAAAGTTATCCCATTAGCCACATCTACCATTCAAGACACGTTAACAAGCGTCGCCTGCGAAACGTCCTCATCGACCCGGTCGAGGAAGGGGACTTTGTTACGCCGGACCCACCGCTGGGGGTCCCGCCGGATAACGCTACACCCACAGAGGAGGGCCCAAACCCGTGGGTTCTGGCTAGCCCACCGGTTCTGCGTCAGATGAAGCTTTAATAGTCTCGAGACTGAAAGCAAAAACATCAGTCAATACAAGATACAAGACCATTCAAGACAGTTGAACTATGGAAAGTGGAGATAAAAGCTTAGTATCCGTCAAAACGAAATCAATAGCGCTAGCGTAGGATAAATTTTAAAGAAAGCGCCAAAAGTAAAATTATAGTACGTTATTAGTTAAGTATATACTTCATTATGAATCTCATTTTTGAGTTTATGGTAGAAATATTGATCATCTAAAGAAATCATAAGAGATATTTTTTTATTAAATTAATTTTCCTACAATTTTTGTGTAAACACTTATTATAAGACCAACATTTTCGCTGCATGCGAAGTATATTACTTCACTGTATTACCATTTATGTGCAAATTAAGGCATAAATCTTTGCACAAATTATTTTTAATAATACTATTTTATTATATAGGGGAATTTAGGGGTGTTTTTCTTAAGCTTTAGGGACAAATATTTTCGAGAGTTGGTGACACTGCAGGGGGTTACCAAATATACCAGTTCCCAACTTAAATGATATAAACTTATTGAAAGTGATTTACATTCTCTCTGGGCTGGGGCTCTGGGGGTTACCCTCATGTAATGCAATGCTAACAGCTAAAAAGGCTATAATACCTATATAAAAGTTTAAAATTCATCGTTTAGATTCAGGTGTCATTTATATACTTTGCCGTGGATTAAATATTGTTTATTATTACTTGGAAACTACTTCTGTATTACTATACACTGCTTTTAGCTTTCTACATTATTTTGTTAATGAGTGAGTTGTGAGTGTTAGTGCTTTACGTGATAAAAATGACATAAGAACGTAATCTTAATAATGAATTGTAATACTCCCTAATTTATAAATGAAACAGTAAACATGGAATCAGAATCAACTAAAAAAGTACCAAATATTCTAAAGAAGCACAAGATATCCGTGTTGAAAAAAGACTGTTTTCCTAATGATACGGCTTTGCTTCGTTGTATGAAAGTAACTAGACCGTTCATTGTGAAGGAGGATGTTATATATCGGTCTGAACCGGGAGATTTCATGAAGGGGGAATACCCTAATTTGACTATCATTAATAGGTTAAATATTCTGGCTAACAGCAGTCGCACTACAGCTAAGTATACTGACGAAGCATTGGGCTGGGTTGAACGTACGTCCGATGATGTTGCGAAATTGATCGGGCAAAAGAATTACGATATCGTATTTTCTGCTTTGTGTTCTGTAATAAGCCAAGAGCTTCGCATACAAGGTATATTAGCTTTATTAAAGGTACAGAAAATCACTAATAACAGTTCTTGCCAGACAGACAGTATAAATTTATTTGGGAGTTTAGATAAAATAAGTTTAATTAATGCCTCAAGTCAAACAGATGAAACCTGTTCGGATATCTTACATAGATTTAAATCAAGAAGAAAAATGAGAAGACCACCTTTAACACCATATGTTGTTCCAAAGTCTTCTGGAAGTGTTAGAAAATTAGTTATTAAACCTCAGCACTTTGAAATAACAAAAAAGTTAATCAAAGAGGAAGAAGACTGTTCAAATTTGAAAAATGATGAAATGGATACTAATAATGCTAGTAAACATTTCTCTGACAGCAATTTAAAACGAACTCATACTGATGTAAAAAATGAATTATTAAGTGTGCACCACTTAGGAAATTATTCGGAATCCAAAGATGATATTGTAATAAATGAAAAACCTACAAGCAAGGAACCAACATTTCCAGAGTTGAAATCAATCGTGGATGATGACAGCAACATATCGGATATAAGTTGTGGGAACATCTCTATTGATAGCAGCAGTATACCATTACAACTAGAAAACCCCATTTCTATTTTAAATGATATTGACAAGCATACTCAAGAGCCAGTTAGTCATTGTACACTATCTATGTTGGATGGCAGTCAAGTCAAAATACGAGGCAAACCTGAAGATCAGTTTCATATTGCTACAGCGGAAATTTTAAAATACTTAAATCCTATTGACAGGAGCAAACTTATGTGGTATCAAGCATATATTGATTGGAAATACTGCTTACAAAGGGATGAAGACAATAATTTGTGAGTATGATATCTTCGTAGTCTCAAAATTTGCACAGGAAATTTTTGCTTTGAGATCTTTAATAGTTTTGTTTGTTTCTATTTTTACCTTTAACTAGTGTCCTGAATTTATTAAGTTTTTTTCTACTTCACATATGATTTTTGTATTTCACGTTTTGCTAGTTTTCTTTTTGCTTTCAAAATGCATGAGTTTTATGTCCTACTTCGTGGCCTATTTTATTTATAATTTGGGGATCTAAAAAAGCTATTAATATACATATTGATATATTTTAATATGGATAGAGATAGAGTTTGAAATACTATTTTTGTAAATTTCCATGTATAATTAAATATTTAAAGTAACTAATTTGGAAAATGGTGATTATAATATCAGGTTGTATACCTGAGTACACTGTTACAACAAATAATAAAAAACAGTAAAAAAATACTTAAGTCATATTTAAAATAATTTATCCCATACAACAAACATGATTTTAGCCATTTTTTATAGATAATCGTAAGGAACCCTTCTTGTGCAAGTCTGACTTGCAATTGTCCAGTTTTTTTTACACTATGTTATGTTGTCTTTACTATGAATAAATGATGTGATTAATTATTCTGAATAAATTTACCATATTTTTATTCTTTGAAAAAATTTTAATAGCAAGCTTGTAACATTTGTAAATCAATTAAACACTTTTATTGTGGGGACTAATGACCTTATTTTTTTAGAATATCAATTATTAATTTATTATTAGAAATATTTATCACATGAACAATCACAGAATACAATTTACTATGCAACAGTTAGATTTGGGTATATACCTAAATGTTTAACATGGATCAATGAAATAAAATCTTGAAGACTTTAACACAAAAAAATTTAGATACTAAATAAATTTGTTGCCATTTTTTTTAAGTTTTAATTGATACATAGCATTTAATCTTAAAACCTTTAATCTACTAGATCTGTAACACATTTAATAATTTGTATTTCTACATAAGATTAATATGCCTGTATGTACTGTTTACAAATGGAGCTTAGACTTTATTGTTTCCACCAAATATGATCAGAGGATGTGAGAAAAAAAAAACGATTTTTACCATCCTCTGATCTGAATCGTTTTCAACAAGAGCTGGTATTCACTCAGTAATGTTTTTTTTTTAACGAAACTTGTATGGTTTAGGCTTATAGTTTCTGAATTTTCTTTGATTTCATTTCAAAGATGAACGTTTGAATCAAAAGAAAAAGGTCTATAGATCTTATTCATATTTTGGAACACTAGAATTTGAATAAGACAGTCTAATAGTAGCAACCGGAGATAAGTGACTCCTCGGGATGGCAACAAGCTCGACAGATGTCGACGGTGCCATCCCTTAGGATGTATTTCTGATGGTTGTTCGTCTTAATAACCTGATCCTGTATCGCACAGACAAAACCTTCGGTTTCCCCAAAGCGGTCACCGAAAGGTAGCCAGTTAAGGGAGGCAACAATATCTACGAAAGGTTCGTGCAGAACCTTGTACAACCTCCCGTGGAGCTCTTTCCCTTCCATATAAGAAAATAATTCATACCATATAATAATTCATTCCATATAAGTAGATGAAGCTTCTTTAAGTCTAAGGACTGAAACTAACATCAGTTATACAAAAAAATAAAAAAAAATGTTACACAATTTTTTTTGTTCGATGTTACTTGGTTTTCGACTTTTCTTTTTCGATTTCCTTTTGTTTTGCACTATTTCAATATGACCTAGATATTACCAAACAACACGGAACAATAATACCATACACCCAGCAATTCATTAGTTAGAATTCAACATTTAGCAACTTCAACTTTTTGCGAATTCAACATTTTAGGAATTCAACATTGTGACCCGGGTGGGAAATTCAACTTTTTACGACTTCAACATTATGGAAATCAACATTTTGCGAATTCAACATTTTGCAAATTCAACATTGTGGTCCTGAAGGCTAATATATATAATAAGCAAAAATAATTTTCTTTGGATTTTTATTTCTGTCATAATTTCTTTATATCAAGTAATTTATTTTATGCAATTTACGTTGGAATTATTATAATTTTTCCAAATACATTAATTTAAATTGAATAAAATCCATAGTAATTTCGTTTTCAGGCCTATTCATCGGGCCGTATTGAATAACGACGTGGATCTATTGCGAAGACAGTGTGTAATGGTAAAGAGTAGACATGAATCCGTCGACATACCGATCCATAATAATCTGGTAAGTTGCATCAAGCAAACTGATATATTATTAGTAAAACAATAATCTAAGCGACATGCGTCTTTACGAACACCGAGTTAAGGTAAATAAAAATCGGAAGATATTGAAAATTTTGTAGGACCATTTGTATCTCACGCGCTTTGTTACTCGAAATCTGTTTAAAAATCTGATATTATGCATTGCTTGCCGTATCGCTATAACTAGTGAATATTTGTATCTCACGCGCTTTGTCTAAAAATCTAATATTGTGGCAAACGCGTATATCGCGAAACGCGATTCGTGTTGGTATAGCGAGTGAGCGAGTATTCGGAACATCAGATTTCGAAAATATCAGGTATTGTAAAATACATAGATTTTGAACGAGCCAGTAAGCGATTTTCGGATATTGTACCAATATATAGTTTTCGTATCTGTATACGATTTGTATCGCCCACTTCTAGTCTTTAGTCAATAAGCGCACTTGCACCTTGCACAGCTAGCGCAATGTGGGCCGCACGCTTTTGCTCTGAAGCTCTTGAAATCTATTTCTTGAGAAAAAAAAACTTACGTGATTTGCCTCTCACCAAAGTAAGATTAGATCAGATTTGACTCGACCGAAAGTAGTCGGTATTCGAGGTATATTTTATTTTTTCCTGAATTATTTCATACCGCTTGTATATAGCATGTTATTTAACTTTTTTGCATTGTTGTTAAATAGTATACTAACAAACGACGAATTATTTCCCTTAAATGCAGCATTGGGTTATGTTTATTGCCCGGGAAAATAGGGTATCATCAGATAGAACTAGAAAAACTCTATCATTATAAGATTGGTATGGGAATCTACACAAATATGAATTTAAAGTACCATCGATCTGTCCGTCAGTCCCTTATGTTGTCACTATTAAACCGCTGATCTGATTTGGATGAAATTTGTAGTGAAGATTGATTACATCCTCATGTTACCCTTTGGCACGATAAAAGATATACACGCAGTCGAGGCCGCCTATTTGGCGATTATGTATTTAGTTTGTTTAGTTTGGTTTTTATTATAAGAACATATTTTGGTAGTATTGAACGCCTGGCCGTCTCGCTATCGTGATAAAATGACTTTGTAAGATTGATTGGTGATAGCTCAGTGTCCGAGCGGTCACCTTTAATTCAATATACTTGAGCAACCTGAGTTCGATACCCGGTGCCGGCACCAAGGAAGTTTTTAACTTTAAGTGCTGACTTATCACGTGCTCCGCGGTGAAGAAAAACATCGTGAGGAAACCTGCATATTTTCGAAATAATAAAAAAAAATATTTCGAAGATATGTAAAGTCCGCCAATCCGCAGTGGGACCGCGTGGTGGACTATGCCCTGATACCGTCTGTATAGAGGAGGCCTTTGCCCAGCAGTGGGACAAGGCTGTGACTACTTTTCTTTTACTTTGATTGGTGGTATGTAACGCACTCATTAAACTTAATTAAACGAGACGTTACTTTTTATTATTTTTATGTCACCAATGAATAGCTAACACACTGATAAACCAAAATTAAATAAGATTATTGGTGGTAGGGCCACGCAGTAGCCTCGGCTGTTGCATTCGTGCAGGCTCGACCGGGTAAGTACCATGACCTCACAGAAGACCGGCGTATTCGTCTGGTGAGTGAGGTGGCCGGAGCCTAATTTTCAAATGGTTGTCACCACATCTGGAACCCTCGGGTATGGCAGATGTCCATGGGCGGCGGTATTCACTTAACATCAGGTGAAACGTCTGCTCGTTTGGCAACTTTTCACATAAAAAAACATTTCTGGAAATAATCTTGTCACGTAAAATAAAATAATAGAATATGGGCAAACTTTGTTATTAAGATGTGTTGTTATAAACATATACAATAGCAATGACCTAGTGGTCCCTACTACGTGCTACTCGCATAGCTTGGCGCGAACGCTAATGGCATTGACCACGTCACAGCAACGTTCATAAATCTAATCTTATATCTATATACGTATTAATAATCTACAATCTTTTCTACAGGCCTTTTACATACTGACCACAGTATAGTTGAAATATTGAGGCCATCTGTTTCTGGTTTGACCCTTTTTATCGAAATAGTTAAAAAAAAGTATCGACAATATTGTTTATTTTTATAATTTCTAAATTTCTTTTGCAATTAATTTTTCTACATAATTTAATTCTACATCCTTATCGACCCCTACTTTGATGAATTTCTTAACTACCTACTAAACAGCATTGCTAAAAATGCAAACTAAAAGTAGATAGTTGTAGAGATTTTCGCGTCGTGACGACCTCGGCCGCTTTGCTTATTTATTTAAAAACCTTAAAATATGTAGAAAAAGTGCGAAAAGATTGTCGCCGCTGTGGGAATCGAACCCACGTCTTCGGCAAAAAAAGCAATGGCGACATCTCTCGTTCGAATTATCGTTGTAAAACGATATTCGAAGTTGTTTGTATGCTGGAAAGGATATAACAATAGATGGCGCCAAGCATTGCTTCAAATGCTAAGAAAACAATGTAGAAGAATGCGTTAAGATTTTCGTCGGTGTGGTAATCAGCCGTTTAGCTCAGTGGCTAGAGCGTCAGGCCGCGAATGCCGAAGACGTGGGTTCGATTCCCACAGCGGCGATAATCTTTTCGCACTTTTTCTACATATTTTAATGTTCAATCTTAAGTGCAAAGATTAGCACTGTAAACAATTTAAATTTCTATTTAAAAACCTTTTGCACAATAGCGTACGATGGCGGACTTATATCATTAGGTGTTCTCTACCAGTCAACCGAAAAATAAATAGGGAAGAATATATTTAGCTTAGGTTGCCAAACCTTATTATTTACACATCGTAGATCGTTTGATAGGAAACAAAATGCCTCTATGTCTTTACTCCATGAACTTTATATATACTTCAGTCTAGGATGGGTATATTTGTATAGTGGTGTATAAACTATTTTCTTAACCATTAGCCATTTTGTGGTGCAAGGATTATCCAATCAGCGTTACCGATTAAGCTATCCTCGCAGATTGTCGCCCGGGGTACGCGCATGGAGGTTATGTTATGAATTTATTATACACCGCGCCGGGAGGCTCCTTACCTGGTCCCATAATCCTGTAGCGGTGGATGTGGCAAAATACTTGTCGAGAGAAACTTAAATAGCAATTTTGATTGAAAAGAAGAAAAGAAGTTTAAGGTCTTCATCTTTTTTCTGCTAAAACAGACAGCGCTCCAAATTTCCATATCCCAAGAGTCCGCCGCGTGCACTGCTGTTCTGCTGAAGCACGGCGCCAACCCGCTGGCGACGGACGACGAACACAGGACCACGTTGCACCTCGCCGCCGAGGAGTCCCCGGATCACCTGATGGCGGTGATAGACCACTGCAGGAGGAACGCCCGGTGAGTCGAAATTAGAGTCATTTAATATTTTTTATTTATGTGCAAAGTTGCCAAGCAAATAGATTATATACTAGAAATAAGGACAAATTGAAGTTAATATACATTTTGCCCACTAAGGAAGAAAGAGAGAAATATTTATTTTAAACATATATACATATATGAAACACAATACAATAGATACTATAAAACTAAATAAGTATTATAAAATGTACCAAGGTCTCCACTCAGATTTGGATAACGAAGCTGACAGACCTTCCGAATGCTGCGTTTTCAGCGGAACTGTGGGGATGAGAGATGGATGGTCCTACATAAAGTTTAAATATAGCGGTATTTGGCTCTGTTCGTTCGAGTGTAGTGCATTAAAAGCAAGCACCATGTCACTACTTTTTTTTTATGCGAGAAGTTGTCAAACGAGCAGACGATTCACCTGATGTTAAGTGAATACCGCCGCCCATGGACATCAATTACACCCGGGGGTTACAGATGCGTAGACAACCTTTTGAAAATTGGGCCGGAGCCCAATTTTCAACTACCTCACTCACCAGACGAAACGCGAAAGTATTTGTCATACTTCCACTTTACGCCGGTCTTCTGTGAGGTCGTGGTACTTACACGGACGGGCCTGCTTGTGCGTGCAACAGCCGAGGCTGCTGCGTGGCCCTACCACCGTAAAGGCTTAGTTTAGGTAATAAGAAAGGTTTAGAGATCAGTATATAGTGCGACTTAATTCCTCCGACCTCCTTTCACTAAGTACGTTCGGAAAGCGTTTATAATAATATTGTTAGAATTTACCAGAATCCGTTCCGTTCGATTAAAGGATTCTTTCGTCAAGGCAAAACGGAACATGTCGTTATTGAGCTTAGCGCTTGTATCACTTAGTTCTATTACTACGCCATAAAACGGGATGGTATTCCAGCACATGCGAATTTGTCATTAATTAACTAAAGCCAAGTTTACATATCAAGTGTTAAAAAAAGCAATGCTTGAGTCGTCTGAAGCGACATTTTGCTAACATTTTATTGATAATAAGATAATAATGGCTTATATATAATGTTTTCTGGCGAAGTAAAGTATTCATTTATAATCAACTTTGTATTTGTTGGTATTAATTTGTTGCTTGTTAAATACGGTATGTCAACATACTTTGCTTTTGGTTTCTGTGAAAGTAATGTTGCCGTTACAATTTATAAGTACATAATTATCGAAGTTAAAGACAGCCTTTGTATTGGAAACTGTTTGAACTTTGCAACATTTTAAATGAGGTCATCGTCTTATTAGTAAATGTGAATGAAGGCAACTATATCATGCAATCAATTCGAGAAATTTTTTGTCAGCATATATCCGCCATGCATAATGGTAGAATGGAATAAAAATGAGTAGAAAAAAAATTCTTCTAAGTCTTTGTAGTGTACATAGTCACGTGGTTATGTTTATTTAGAACCCCCATATGCAACTTCGTTTATCTTTCGTATTAAAAGCAGTTCGTCAGCTCTCCACAGCAACTGCTGTTGACGGCCTTTACCTTTTAATCCTTCGCGCTTTATTGCGTTACCTTTTAAAATGTAACGCGTGAACATATTGAACAAGACAAGACATTTAACGGTGGTAGAGCCACGCAGCAACCTCGGCTGTTGCACGAATGGGCAGGCCCGTCCGGGTAAGTACAACGACCACACAAAGACCGGCGTAAAGTGGAAGTATGACAAATACTTTCGCGTTTCGTCTGGTGAGTGAGGTAGCCGGAGCCCAATTTCCAAAAAGGTTGCCAACGCATCTGCAAACCTTATCTGCATTTCGGGTGTAGCAGATGTATATGGGCGACGGTATTCGTTTATATAAGGGCGACGCTCGTATTCGTTTTTTAACATTCTCGGCGTAATGGCCCAAGTTAGGTGACCGGGAATCATTATGGAAAATGCATTGTTGCAAATGTCCATGGGCGGCGGTTATCACAGTAATAAATCTTTTAACAAAAAAATTTATGTTTGATGGCTTTTGCAATTTATTTTCTGCAACATGGAGCTTGTGTGTGTGGAATATTTTTGTAGTACACTTGAATTAATTTTATGTCGTATAAAATAAACTCATTCGTATTGCCGTCTCAATTGTTATACCTTTACGCAACGACAGCATTCTGATCATACCCTATTGACGAGCACTAATACTTTTCGCTGAGAGCATGATTACTAAACCGCTTATTACACCCTGTTGATACCACTCTTAACGGTTTTTATAGACGACGGACATATTAACAGAGCATAAGCAACATTTTATTCTAAGAATTGACATGTTTCTGGCTAGTTCTTTTCAAAATAAAAGATTAATATTCTTTTTGAATTATGGAATGCTCAACTAACATTATGACAAAGTATGTACCTACATAAATGTTTGATTTATTCGCGTTTTTGTCGTGATTTTTAGACGAAGTAGGTACCTACGTACTTCGTCTAAAAATCACCCTAGATACCTCTATACGCTTTTGCTTCATGTAGTGTATTTGAACAACGCTTAAAAATGTCATAAAAAACAGGTGTAAAGATAAGCCGTAAAGCTCAGTGGCTAGAGCGTCGGGAGCATATTCTGGAGGGCGTAGGTTCAAATACTTGGCAGCGACGAAAAATTTTTCGTCCACTTTCCTACAATGTTTTAAATTTCATGTTAAGCGAAGAGAAGAGAATAGAGGAACAAGTGGAAAGAGATTGAAATTGAAAATATACGATTCGGCGGTTTTGACGAGGAAAAAAGAACGAATGGACAAAATTTTCGATGAGAATTGATTAAAGGCGCGAATGGCGAAAAAAATGTGTACAGGAAAACATCAAGAAACTAATGAAGTATTGGAAGAAAAACCAATATATCTACAGTACCTACATTTTATGTAGGCACCGTAGATATATTTGTAAAGTAGCGATACCTAATTAGGAAGCTTCATGACGGGCGTGAATGCATATACAGCACTCACGAAGTTACTTAATTAAGAGTATCTATTCTCTATTAAGTGTATGTATTTACTTGACTAAAATCTATATTTTCGTATTTACTTGACTAAAATCTATATTGTCGGCACTAATGAAATTCTTTCTCGGTGTTGAAAATTATTTAGGGAAGTAATTGAAAAAAAAAATATTTGATGATTATGCCAATCCTCAAAACGATCGCTTGGCGGATTATACACTAAACTGTACGGGGACGGTCGTTTGCATTTTTAGAGCATGTTTTTTTTTTTTAAAATCCAAAATCGTTCTCCTTTATTTCCCAATAGCAGGGAATTCCCAATAGCGGGGAACCTTAATGTATCGCACACCTCAGATTTCTTGGCCCGGGTATAATGAATCAGCCTCTTATATTGATTATTTTTTACAGGCATATACTTTATGACAATGAATTGTGGATGCCGGAACTAGAAGATAAAACGGAGGAAGATATTTCGAAATATCTGTTGTCAAAAGTTTGCCGAATGTACGACAATCAAGGTAACAATTTCAAATATCTAGTAATTAAAACTCTGTTCAAGCTGTAATCCGTGGTTCAGGCAAACGGGGAGGGAAAACATCGCGAGGCAACGTGCATCGTCATCATCATTTCAGCCTGTTTGAGTCCACTGCTGAACATAGGCCTCCCCCACGTGATCCCCTCGGGGTCGTTCTTCGTGGCAGTCTGTGGGGGAGGCCTATGTTCAGCAGTGGACTCAAACCTGCATACTTTTGAAATGATAACAAAAACAATATTTCCAAGATATGTGAAGTCCGCCAAACCGCAGTGCGGTCGGGTGGACTATGTATGCCCTTATATCCTCTGTACAGAGGAGGCCCTTGCCCGGCAGAGGGACATCCTGTTGCTACCACTACTACTATTGGTTGAGCGGTTCAGCTGAACGTCAATGGATTATAAATTTACTGTACCGATTGACATAAATACATAACATGCCCTAAAAAGCAACGTCATCGTAAAATTTACACATTCCCGCCCGTTTCTGAAACACTGCTCGTCGTAGAAATTAACTAATCAGCTGTCAACAATTCCGATCATTAAGAAGATCATTCTGATCAATTCAGTAGGTATACGAGTTAAATCTAGTTTCAATTCAAGTGAAAAGTGGCCACGCAGTCTTTACTGTTTCACGAATGGGCAGGCTCGTCCTAGCAAGTGCCGCGACCTCATAGAAGACCGACGTGTAGTGAAAGTGTTATACTTTCGCGTTTCGTCTGGTGAGTGAGGTGGCCGGAGCCCACTTTATTAGAAGTGCCAAAATATCTAAAACCCTGCTGGTGTCGCAGATGTCTTTGATCAGAGGTCGATTATCACCTTCTCATAAATAAAAAGTTCTTTGGAGTTACGCTAAACTTTTTTGAGTATATTCCTGAAGTAACTCGGACCTTACTTCAGGAATATACTTTGAAGAAACGGTCTGAAGAAAATTATTTTTAGTCATAATTTCTAACGTTCTATTACAAAATTTTGTTCGTTTTGTATGCCTTATAAGAAAAAGAATCGAAATTATCTACCAGTATAGTTGACACATTCTGAAAGTAGATAATTAATCCATTAGAAAGACAATTGTTGGGTAAATAAATATTTTAAAAACTCCTAGTAATAAAATATATTTTAATGTAATAAATTCCTTCGAGTTTATATTTAAAAAGCCCTTGCCGAACCCAACCCATAATGTGTTCGGTATGAAAATGTATGCAAAGTAATGTTTTCACTCGAGTCGTTTTCGAGTACTTTTTATAATTATTATAAAAGTGGTGAAAGTTGGTGATTAACTGGTTTATATCTTGTATTTATAAAAATGCAACGCGTAATTTTGATAATGTTGTGAATTAAGACAAATTTTGCACACACGTACACATTATAAAAATTTAATAAATTAGTGAATGGACAGTAAATGTATATGATGAACACACTTTATATGCAGAAATAAAGTTAGCTAAATGAACACTGCGTGATAAAAAAACACTTAAAAGTTTTCTTTAAAAAAAAAACATGTATTGTAACGATGTTTCACAAATATAAATTTCACATGGGCAAACACCCACACGCGAAATAACTATCTGTGGGTCGCACAAATAGTTGTCCCGCGTGGGAATCGAACCCACGACCCCCGACGCCGAAGCCGATACCTCGGCAACTGCGCCACGGAGTCATGAGATTGTATCTATAACTATTTAGTAGAACATAGCAGACGTACCGTGTTGGTAATATTCGAAAACGTATTTTTATTATGTCCCATTCCCTTTAGGTTGTACACCGTTGATACTTGCCAGCAGGCTGGGCAAATACACCAACGTTCAGTTGCTACTGGACGCCGATCCAAAGTCCGTTAACGTGCCGATGCCGAACTGTGGCAACACTGCGCTGTATTCCGTAGTCACCGCAGCTTGTATAGACGCAAAACGTAAGTGATGACATACCTGGCACTATAAATAAAACAACACTCATACAGTGTATTTAGGTACGCACGTAAGAAGTTACACTTCTTTAGCGTGATAAAAGAAAAATTATTAAAAATTCCATCAAGTCACTCGGTACTCTTTGTTTAAAAAGAAGACATTAAAAGGCAATCGATAACGTATCAATTAAATAGTTAACTTCGAATTATGGGTAAATGTCAATTTTTTTTTTATATGTTGCCTTTTAGGTGTCGCGCCTCGTAAAGATTCTCACCCATCGTTTTCCGCAAAACGCGCCCAAAGAAGTATAACTTCAAGTATATTTGCGTCACTGGATTTGGCAGTTTAATCAGCCCAAAGTCACTTTTCGGTGGTAGGGCCACGCAGCAGCCTCGGCTGTTGCACGAACTTACTTTTTGAGGTCGTGATCTCACAGAAGACCGGCGCAAAGTGAAAGTGTGATACTTTCGCTTTTCGTCTGTAGAGTAAGGCCGGAGCCCAATTTTCAAAAGACTTGAACCCTCGGATGTGGCAGATGTCCATGGGCGGCAGTATTCACTTAACATCGGGTGTATCGTCTCGTTTGACAACTTTTTTTAAAAAGAACATATAAAAAAAAACCGCGATTCCAGATAGCAGCAACAAGTCGAAGGCGGCCGAGCACTTCGTGAAGACAGTCGAGGTGTTGGTGAGGCACGGCGCGGACCCGGCGATCGAGAACAAATCAGGGAGCAGCGCGAACCAGCTGCTCAACGACTACCACCTGTCCGAGGTATCGATGATAATAGCGAACTCGATAGTGGCCTCGAAGTATCCGAAGGAAGAGGTCGACGTCATCAACGACTTCAGCTCCTTCATGCTGGTCAAGGAAGAGAGCGGCGCGGTGAACCTGCAGGTGCTGAAGAGGGAGAAGGGGACAGAGGGACCGGCAAAGGAGGCGAGGATCCTCGAGTTGCTGAAGACAGAGAAGGGGGCGGAGGGACCGGCAAAGGAGGCGGGGAACCTCAAGGTGCTGAAGAGTGAGAAGGGGACGGAGGGAGCGGCGAAGGAGGCCATCGCAAGGGGCCCAACGCCACCGGCGACTGGCATACTGGCGGGAATCCTTGGGGCGAGCAGCCCGCGCGAAATCATCATATGCGCGAACAAAACTATCAAGCGGGAGCCGTCGCCGAAGTGCGAGCACCGCAGGAAGCCGACGCAGAGCCGAATTTACGTGCCCGTCGCGACCAAGAACGTCGCGCCGATCGACAAACGCATCGGCGCTCCGACACCGACGAACGCGATACGGCCGGCGCCGAAGGTCGTCGCGGTCGCCAAACTGGACGCGATCGGCAAAGTGAACGTGATAAAACGCTGCGGTGCCAACGTCACGTCGGCCGTCACGTTGCCCCCGAGCGACGTGACAACGGCCAAGATAAGCGTGAAAAAGAAACCGCCGCCGACGCGCGATCAGACACGCGACGTTCCGATAAAGAAACAGAAACGGGGCCTCGATCAATAGCGTTTTCTCGATGTTCAGGAATTTTACAATTCCTGACACTGTATAGGATGATCACAAAACGGTTAATGATGACGATGTTAAAACTTTTACCGTAATTGGAATTTGGAATCGTTGCCATATTCGGCTTCTATAATAAAATAAAGAAACACTCACAAGAGGTGAAAATATTCTAAACTCTTTTGAGATAAAAATGTATCGTGATATCGATATAAAAGGGTGTAAAGAATACGTAAAACGTGACGGACGCCCAGCTTACAATAACCAAGATGCAAATTAGAATTTCTTATATGTATGGGAAACGATGAAATTTAAAGAAAATACACTTATATAATGTAATTATACGTAGCCAGAACGACCCTTCCTGAGAAAAATGCCTTGACATTCGCCTTGGCATTTTTCATCGTCATCAATTTGGTCAAGGTGTTTTACTTTTATTTTTTTGTGTTGCTTTTCTACCTTTGCTTGATTTACTTCTACAAATTGAAGATGTGCTTCGTTCTAATGTGTTTATATAAAGAAATTAAATGTATTAAATTATCGTTGCACTAAGTCATTGGTGATTACTAGAGTTGCACTTGGCTACAATATGTATTAATTGATTTTATTGTGAAACGCAAGACTTCAGGTTAAGTCTTTATTTGTATATGATTGCATCAATAAAATTTTATGAAATGCGAAGTTGCCTACTTTAAATAAGAAAAGCGTAATACGCCTATAATTGGCTAAAAATATGGAAGGCCACGGCCTTAATTCACTGATTACGGGTAAAAATATCTAATATTTTTTTTTCGATTATAGTTAATTGGTTAAGCAGAATATTTGTATGGTAAGGCGTTACATAAACGTTTATAAAGAGGATATTTTCTAGCTACAAAGACAAGGAAGTGATTTGTATTATAAAAGATTTATAATGACATAATGAAATAATACTTAATTCTTATAATTTATTTAATAAACGAAACATTCGAAATTTTTTCGCAAGAAATGTTCGTCCTTGCTCATTCGTGGTGTTAGAATATTTATTTATATTTTTCCCACTTTTCCGTTCATACTCTTGATTAGTACAATTTCACTGTAATTTTAAAAACTCATAATTTCTACTTATTTTTTTTCTTATAATTTATGTCTGTTTATATTCATGCATAAAATTACCAAGTAACAAGGTATGTCAACATAAATGAAAGGAAGTCATGTTGGTTGTTACTGTTATAAAAAAACATATCATTACAGGTAGATTTAGATGTTTTTTGCCTTGCGGGAACTAAATTAATAATCTTTTTTTTGTTAAAATGGCCTCTCTTGGCCTAGACAGGATTTGAACTAGTCCCTTCAAATGGATATGTTGACTTTTCTACCGTTACATTATCACTGCCCTTTTTTATGTATTTTAATTTTTCTGTGTGCCTATCATTTTTTTGTATTTTAGGCCATTTTTAAACAAGCCTTAAGATTAAGGGCTCGACAGGATCGAGATTTAAAAAAAATACTTCCAAGGTGTGTGTATAAAACCTTATTTATAATCAAATGATTTAGTGACCTTTTTATTTTTGCACTTATAAAATGTAGTGTTTTGGAAATAAGTTTAACTACTTAAACAACTAACAATTTTCATCAGAATTAATATAAAGGACCTAATTATTATTAATTATTTGATATTATTAATACGCGAAGCAATTACAGTGGACTTTAAAATTAATTTAGTTTAATATATTACTTTGTCAATGTCTATTCGGGTCGAATTTAAATATATTTTTAATTAAAAAAGAGATTTGAAAATTTGACCATGACCATGCACAAAAATAGGAAATTATATATTTCTTTTTAATATCTGGTTTATCTACATTTTAAAAACAATTGAAACTGAAAGGATACTTTCTTAAATTGGCTTTGTCTCCGTATAACATTTTTACTAGTTTCTAACTTTTTATTTAAATATTGATTTACACATAGTTGTAATGTCATATATTGTAATGTTCTTTTCTCGCTTTTGAAGTTTATCATCAAGGCTTAGATGATGTTAGAATATACGGACAGTTTATTTATGATGTATTATTGTTACGCAAAACTTTTACAAGCTTAGGTCATTTTACTATATTTCTCAATGAAAGTTTATTTTAGGTGACTTTGTCTTATGTTCACATTTAACTGAAATAGGTATATAAAACACTAATGATAATTGTGTTTATTTATTTTGTTCCCTTTTTTCCCCCTATTTCCTTCCCTGGTTATTATTCTGGAGGCAAAGAAAGTCGAGTTTGCAACAAAGCACTTCGTCTTTTGTATAATAATTGTCAGTCTTCAATTGACAATGTTTGTTAACGCACAAGTTTTGAGGTAATACAGTTCACTCGGCAGGCGTTAATTTTGAAACTGTATTTATAGTCCTTGTATACACGTGCGCGGTCTGCATTCGGTTGTGGCTAGACGTGGTCCTGGTCGTGCACGGTGTAACGACATGAGTGGATTTTTTTAACGTGGGGGAAATGCCTAAGCAGCATACCCGTGCTCACGGGGGCAAGGTCGGGTTATGTCGGACTCGCAACGATGCCTTCAAGATGTTCAACCTAGAGCGCATATCGACAGGGTTTACTGTGGTAGGGCTAAGCAACTGTTGCACGAATGGGCAGGTCCGTCCTGGTAAGTAACACGACCAGACAGAAGACCAGCAAAAGTCGTTTAGTGAGTGAGGTAGCCGGGGCCCATTTTATTAAAAGGTGGCAACGCATTTGCAACCCTACGGGTGTTGCTGCAAATGTCTATGGGCGGCGGTTATAACTTAATATCAGGTGAATCACCGGTGCGTTTACCACTTTTTCACATAAAAAAAAAGATATCGCACACTTCCACCACCCTGCCAGCGCTGGCCTCCAGCTAAGGCACGCTGGAATATGCAGCTACTAGTCGAATGCTAGGTGAATGAATCAAACAACTGACGGACGTCATGGGGAGGAATGTTAAAGAAATAATTAATATAACTAGCAAATTTAGTACAAGTAAAATAGAAATTGACTTATTTTCATTTTGCCTCGGGCGCACACTTCGCTCGGATTTGTACCCGCATACTGTTTATGGGTAATTCTCGTTAGTTAGGTTGTCATTCTGTGCGGTAGTGCGGAGGCGAAGCAATTATTACTATTCAATATATATCAGTAGATTCTTAAAGTGTGCTCGATATAAGAATAGTTTATACTCGTTGTACCCTTTCCACTAAAACCTGGTACTACCATAAGTGGTTTTTAGATCAAAAGAAATTAATATCTGGATTGTATTCATCTAGGTTAAAAATATTTCTCTAAAGTAAGACAGTAATTGCTCCAAACCTTATATTCATTGCATCAATTAGTAATAAAATATTATACTTATTTGTAACTTTCGCAAAATTTTTCACTTTTGACCTGCGCCTTTCGGCCGCCTTATACCTTTACACTTTCTCAAATAAAATATTTGCAATTAATATTTGAAAACGTGCTCCGCGGTGAAGGAAAACATCGTGAGGGAATCTGCATATTTTCGAAATAATAACAAAAAATAATATATTTCCAAGATATGTGAAGTCCGCCAATCCGCAGTGAGGCCGCGTGGTGGACTATGCCCTGATACCCTCTGTATAGAGGAGGCCTTTGCCCCGCAGTGGGACATGAATAGGCTGTTATTTTACTTTACTTTTATTTGAAAACTAGTCGCCTTTGCTCGCGCAGTCTGTGGTAGAAATAATTTGAATAGCGTATTGAAAGAAAAAAAACAAATTTTATATAACTTACACCTTTATTTCTTTATTTACATCAATGCACAATTTTAACATTTATGTACGTTTAACAATTTACGAAACATTAAGTACAGAATTTGAGCAATAATCATAGGTAAAAAATGGCAACACTTAACGTTTTAGCAAAAAATTTCAGCCAATCACAGTTCATGGCTTCATTTTTGGCTTCGTAGTAAGTAAGTGTTGTCATATTTACAAATTCATCCAATAAAATAGTCACAAAAATAGTTTGGTAAAACTCTTATAATTTGATTATATACAAAAATACTAAATATAACATTTTCCTTTAAACACTTGTAAAAGAGGTTACATTTTAAATAATTTCAGTAAATGATGATGTTGTTTAAACATTACAAAAATATTAAGACAGTTAGTCATTTGTTTTACCGGATTATTAGTAGCAACTCTCGTGGAGTTGCATTAATTGAAATTCGATGCTAAACTTTCTTGGCGTTTTGGTAATGCGAGCCATGATAACTGAAACTATTTTTTTAATAATATATGTATATGACTAACTTAGGTACTAACCAATCCGCGATAGATTTAAGACTACGAAAAGAGTAAAAATGGTAAAATAATAGTTAATTATACATCTAAATACACAAGGACGGACCCATATTAGACTAGTAGCTATCGGTAATGCGATTTAACTAACGTATGTATAAATTTTAAAATATCTCTATTACCAGTTGAAAAAAATCATGTCATAGCGTTCGTGCAAGATCGCAAAATTAATCTGACCAAATGATTATTTTGAAGAGAGGACGAAAGTAAGGAGAAATATCTGTGTATAGTGTCCGTTGAGGCGTTAAATTGGTGGCGCTAAGCTATCATACGGGTGTAAGGCAGTCTTAAGTTACCATGCTTACTAGTTATAAAATTCAACTCAACAAGGTAAATAATCACACTCTCTTGCTACTTTAGCGCCATTCTGGAGGGATTTAGAACTGTTATTTTACTGTTCTCAGTTCAGTTCTGTTCTTCTCACAGTTTGGCAGCTGTACCCAAGACCCTCCATAGTTCAAAGTATGGAGTAGTATCTCACAGTATAGAAAGTGTCCATTAAATAGGATATACTAAGATGGCATTACTGTAGCTTAGGATAATATTTGAAAGTAAGGGCCAATTGTTAGTTGTTAGAAAACATTCGCTACCCGTCATTCCAGTCATCACAGTCATTCTTCTAATTTATTGAACCCTTAATATATACATTTTTGTGGACACTTTCTCAGTTAAAAACATGAGATACTACTTATCTATACATTCCACAGTTTTAAATCCGTATTACTATAGATTATATGGTAATATTTACTACTACCTACCGAAATACGTTTCTCCCCCTGTCGGAGTAAATTTAAAGTCAACGGTATAAGTATAATGAAGAAATGTCAATATAAATTAATGCGTCCATTTGTCGCACATAAAAATTTATAACTACAGTCCCAAGTTGAAATTAATGACATGAAATATTTGATATTACGTCTAACATTTGTTCAAAATATTAAAAAAAACGTAACTATAATTGGAAAATTAACATTATCACATTCGTCGATGTAAGAGACTAAAAAATACAAAAGTAATAAACGTAAAGTATCTATCATTATAAGGTGGTATACCTACAGGAGTAAAATGCTAATATTTATTTAGAGCAAAATCCCCGACTCCGACGATCAGCCATTAATGGGTGAAAAACCCTGCTTTAATAATTTGCAAACTGTAATGATTAATAAATATTTTACAAAAACGGCTATATTTTGATATGATTATCTGTCATTTTTGACGGTGTCATAGAGTATACAAGTTTTCTTTAAGTTTCATGTGGTTCGATGTTCTTACGCCTGTACAAGAGCCAAACATACCGAGGAATATGGGATATCCTACATTTTACTTGTCATTATAAAAAGAACGCCATAGAAAAATAAACAGTAAACAGACATTCTTCTCTAATCCAAAAAAATCTGTAATTAAAATAAAATAATTTATTTGCTTTACAAAAATTACATACAACAATGCTGTGTTAATTTTAAATCAAACCAATTACAATGTCATATATTTCATACTTAAAACTTCATATAATGTCATAAAAAAAGATTACATTATTCGTAAAGTCATGTGTCAAAGAAATTGAAGTATTCTCTGTCGTATTATGGTAGACTGTAAAAGTTAATGTTGGCTTGTTTGGCTGTATATGTTCGCGTCTGTGCCCTGTTAAGTACACGGACAAGAACATCGACGCGTCAGAAAATTGCGTCCCTGTCAATGTCAAAGGACAGATAATGCTGTTTAGAAGGGCTATATTACCTGTGGTCATTAAATTAAACGCCCGCATAACAGTTATCTCCTATTGTTCAGTTCGTAGCCATTTTCTTTGCCGGGTGTTTTCGCCGGCGGCGGTTTGGCTACCGCGTGTCCCTCCAACCTCAAGGTGCTTTGGCGGTGCGACGACCTGAAAACGACGATATTGCTTTTGATTGATCTCTTCTTTAACCAAACCGCCAACTCCTTAGGAGTTCTCCAAGAGAGAATATAAAAGAAAGGTTATAAGTAATACATATTATATTATATTAATAAGTTAATAATTTTAGACTTCAATTTGCTTCCTTCTTTCCTAAACTCGATAAACCTTTTACTATTTTGTCTAGTAGTTTGTTTTTTGGTCAAAGCCATACATCATTAAAGGTATAGCTCGAGCGTAATGTTGTTACATTTTATCGCTAAATTTGTATGGTAAGTACAGTGTGGTTTGTTTTGGTTGTGTTGGAGATCGGGCACACACCTCCTAGGAGAGATAATGTCCCGAGTGCCCTATTGACCTACCTCCAACACACAAGCGCACAAGCCCTATTCTTAGTTATTTTCAAAGATAAACAATTACGGTGTAAAAACGGAAGGCTTTGTAGGTTAATTCACGTGCTATAAATGTTGAAATACTCTTAGTGGCGTGCAGTATGCATTAAAAGAACTTCATCAATTGCATCAATTGCTGAATGATTGATGATAACATGACAGGTAACTTATATTATATCCAAAGCGACCTATCCAAAGGTTGAATTATGTTGTTTGTTTTCTTTAACTAAAAAAAAAAAACAACTACCGAAACTCGTGGGTTTCAGTGGTTTGGTGCATGTTTGTATGGGGCGATAAGATATTACATCCTCACCTGATGAGGCAGGTGACGGCCAGAAGTATGAGCAGTACACCGAGGGCGGACAGTCCCCACCCGAGGGCCGAACGGGCTATCGGCGGCACCTTGGTGGCCAGTCGCAGCAATGACGTCACCTGTTCAGGCAGCTCGTTGATACCCTAGAGACGAGAACGTATTTATTTTTAAGGAGTGCAAATATTAATTATCTATTAATAACATTAATCTTTATTTCCAATCAAAACACATCTGTACATTATAATCATAAAATAAAATTAGGTAGGTATTACAGAAATAAAAATAAAATTTTGAAAAGTGACAGATACATTAGGACTACAATATATATTCATCATCATTTCAGAAACGGGTGATAGCTTATTGTCCGGGCGCTCGTTTTTGATTCCATATACTCCAGCAATCAGAGTTCGATCGCCGTTGCCGGCACTAAAGAAATTGTTAATTTTAAGTGCTGACATATCACGTGCTCAGCGGTGAAGGAAAACATCGCGAAAGCATTATATTTTTAATAATAATAAAAAAAATATTTCGAAGATATGTGAAGCCCGCAGTCCCGCAGAGGGGTCGTGTGGTGGACTATGTCCTAATACCCTCTGTACAGAGGAGGTCCAGCAGTGTGACATTTATAGGCTCGTACTATATTTATTACTTTACATAATTTCAGCCTGTTTCAATCCACCACTGAACATAGTCCTGCCACTACTTAAGATTCTGGGCCACCTGTATCCGTCCATTTCTCGCACACTTGCACAGGTTACTGCTTTGTTATTTTTGCTGAAACCCCTACGTGACAACGGTGAGGAAATTTATAATTAAAAAACAAATAGACAATTTCAAGAAAAAATAGGAAATTATACTTCTTTTGGCAAAACTTATGAGAGTAAAATTTTAACGATGTTTGCGCACACCGACCCTCAAGAAGCGAGGTGAAGTAGCGTCCATCGTGCTAGTTTACCAACATTTTGACAATTACCTATAATTCCAATTTATTTAAAAAAAAAACCTTTATCAATTGCATTTAATGACTTTACGCTAAGGTAGTGTAAATTCTTACGTGCTAACATAAGTACAAACATTTTTTTTTTATGGTGGAGAAAGTGGCAAACAAGAAGACTGGTCCTGGTGCGTTAAAGATGTGTCACAAACCTTGAGAGCATTCGAAGGACACGTCACAGTGTAACGTTACACTCGCACCATGTCTGTAAAGCCGTGGTCTTTAACATTTGACGAATGGAGCAAGACTTACCTCCTCGAACCAGAGAATGGGGAACACGATGTCCGGGAAGTTGGCGACCTGCTTGATGTCGACCACCTGGGAGACGGCCAGGTTGATCTGGATACGGGCACGGGCGCGCATCGCGATGCCCATCTCCTGCGGGGAAGCGTTCAGTCAGCGTGGAGCTGGCGGCGTGGGGTTCGATTCCCAGGGACCACCGCTCGAATATAAAGGCGTGGGGATTCGATTCCCCGCTCGAATTTATTAGCGTGTCTAAATAAACTAATGTCACTCCTCGGAAAAAGCTGTAGTTTCATGCAAAAAGTTGCAAGTAAACTTTTTTACACATCTCTTATCTCTACTCATATCTTTACATAGATATAATACAATTAAAGTGTATTTCTATGAATTACAAATAAATGTGCTTTTTTTCCAAGCGTAACCAAAACCAAAAACCTATCATTGGCTTTTATTGCTTTAATTACAATTTTAGTGCAAAAAAAAAGCGTCAACAAGTTATATAGGTATGTAAGTAATTCGAAAAGCGGGGGAAAAGGAATCGATCGAGTACCAGCTGTCACGATCAGGGCATTATTAGCAAGTACAATTCCTACAATATCCCCACAACAAAGAGCGAAGTCTCGGGCGGAGAAAACCGCCCTACCCACTAAGGAGGGCCTCAAACCCGTGGGTTCTGGCTAGCCCACCGGTTCTGCGTTCATGGAGCTTTGATCGTCTAAGGACTGAAAAGCGTAACATCGGTTATACAAATATATGCTCATCCACCGAAACCGTACCGGCTGCACGTCGATGAAGAGACGGTGTTTCTCGGCCACGGGCGGCGAGATGCCCTCTACCGCCTCCCGGAGACTCTCGTCCGCCAAGTAGAAGTGGGGGAAAGACAGCAAAATCGGGGAATCTGGAGATGAACCGTTTCATTTATTCATTTAAAAACTTCTTGCACATAAAACGTACAACGGCGGGCTTAAAACCATCACGTGTTCTCTACAGTCAACCGAAATTAATAAACTCTAGAAACTTCTTCATTAATCCAAAGATGCATCATTCCCGAGTCAATGAAATAGTTATCAATCAGATGGAAAGTTTCCATCATCATTTGAGTCTTCGGAATCGGCTGCTAGTCCAAATGGCTCGGCGTATGTCATTTGTTTACTATGTATTTATGTTGTTTTGTTTTACTCTATTATTTTAAACTATATTTTCTTATTTCCTTCATTTTCTTACTTTCACGTTATGTGCGTCTATTTTTCATTGGTGAATAAATCTATTTTCTTTCTTTCTTTCCTACGTTAACATGTCTCCTCTCTCTGCCTCACAGAATCCAAGCTTACCTTCATTTGTCCCCCCCCGAACCCTTGAGCCACTTACCGTATTGGCATAACGACACGTTGAAGAGGCCGTTGGGCGCGCAGGGCGGGCCGGCGGGGCAGAAGCAGCGGTTGTGCTCGTCTGCCGCGAACACGTCCTCGGGCGGGGTGAAACGGTAGCCCAGCACGCCCGCCTCCGACTCCACCTCCTCCAGGAACCTGGAACGGACGAGCGATGTAGCATCCTACACCCAGGTGCATCATCTCATCCGAAGAAACGAGCGGATCTTCTCCAGGATTCTTTTACGTGTAAGAAAATGGCAAGCGAGCTGGCTGGTTCATCTGATAAACGATAACCGCCGCCCATGTATATTTACAAAAGCCGAAGGTTTACTAATGCCTTGCCACCTTTCAATAAGGTGGACAACCTCGACGTTGTGAAGTTAAACTATTAATTTACCAAAGTACTAGTGACGTACTACTGACTTTCGAACCACATCCTAAATGTTTTGCATTTAAAAAAATTCCAATCAAATTGAAAACCTCCTCCTTTTGAAGTCGGTTAAATTTTGAATAGGTCTTTTAAAACATCATCAGTGATTAGAAACATAGAAATTGTACCTAAGGTTTCTTTTAAGTTTAATCAAGACTAGTAAATACAAATCTTTAACACACACTGTAATATGACATTAAATTGCACACTACGTGATTTTTTTCATTTATAATACGAAGATTAATAGATAGGCATAAAACAACTCGAGTAATAAGAGTTTAAGTTGACAGTTAAGTGGAACCAACGGTAAGCGGATAAGGGCATTAACAGACAATGGACTTTTAAGAAACCATTGTTGTGGTTACGAAACGACGCTCGTGCGTTGTAGTACCGCAATTGCTCGAGTCACGAGGATCTTTACACAGTATTATTGTTTTGAATAAGCCGATAGACTTATTGATTGGCACGAGCGTTTTCGGAGTATTAAAAGTACAAGGAAGAAGCACACACGAACCGTACTCTTAACTGTTATAAGGGTCATTTTTGCTCTAATGTATTCCTTTGTATATCACTCTAGTACATCGGTGACGAATTCAATCGAAGCTTTGCCGTTCGTCAAACCACCATTTAATTATTACCTTACGAAAATTTAAGGCATACCGGAAAAAGTACAAAACACTTGCACAAATGATTTATATATTTTTTATAAAATTGACAGCTTTTTATAAATTGACTCCTATAGAGTAAAATTAAAGCTAAAAATCAAGCATTGATTCAATTTTTGAGTCGACATTCTTCAAGGCGATATATTTCATCATTAGTTCGTCTAGACAGGCTTCGTGTAAGAACAGAAGCTATTGCGTGGACTTACAGTGTACTATCAATAGAATATAATTAATGTTTCAGATATGTATGATCGATTTATATTCGTTACGTTGCAATATTTGCCGTCACCGCCGTGCACGTGGTGGAATACACTCAAGCGTTACCGATATCAGTAGAAAAAAGTCTTATGCCGGATTCTGCGTTATGGCTTAACATCTATATTTGCTGCGCAACACTTATGTTTATGTAATGTATAAACAATCTCACGGGTGTCGTATGTAGTTCGTTCATTGTTCTCGACGCGTTCACCTTTTGTTATGACGCTGGTATTATTGCCTCGTTTCGAGGCGACAATCACGAGAATGGACGCGGAAAAAAATTCGAATGAAGATGATAATTAATAATTTCTAGTTTTTTAATCATATTATCATAAAACATCATATTATCTCGCGTGTAGTCGTGTTCGAAACGTTGTGAATACTAATTAAAGATTTACAAGTGTAGATTAGATTAAAAAAGAAAATTCGTAAAATATTTTCGCAACAGGCTTATTTATTTGTAGGATACGGGTTAAAGATGGTGTCAAATAAATGTATAGAGAGCTTGTGAAATAATACCTTGCAACGGTTTCGAAAGAAGTGGGACTGAATATCCTTGGTAAAGGGCGTGAGAAACAAAAATTTGTCTTTCAACCGGTTATACAACAACATCGATGATGAATGTAAAATTGAGTAACTCTTAAGGAAATGAAGTAACTGATAGAATATTTTTACATAGACCTTCAGTATTTATAGCTCGATATGAATGCGCATGTCAAAAGCGGCTTTCCTCTTTGTGTGTGTATATGTGATATATATATATATATTTGTTTGCTTCATCCGACACAGAGCTTGTGAAATGGCTTTGCCTAAAACCTAAGCGCAACCTCACACGTGGACATGCGTGTATGAATAAAACGAGTAAATTGTCGGCTACGGTCACCAGATCCTTAAAAAGCAGCTAAGTCGAAGTATAACTTAAAGATGATTCAATAGAGCTATGAGAACTAATGATAAATGAACAAGATGGTAAGAAAAGCAATAAGTTTGTTTCGAACGAAAGACAAGAAAATGTCAAGTCCCGTGATAATAATTACGATGTAGATGAAGGGGCTGATGTAGGTGGCGGAGGAGTAAACCATAATGGTAAGTTTTTACCACCGCTTAACGATATCCGCACTGGAATAAAATAAATTGAATATCAACACTGGAGTAATTGTGACGGCGTCGTTGGCTTTTGTAAGGAGGACGAGTCTGCCCATTCTTGCAACAGCCGAGGCTGTTCCGTGGTCCTACCACAGTCAAATTACCAGAACCTTCTGTTGTCTGCGTCTCACCTGAGAGGCAGCAGCCGGCAGAGGTCCTTGTCGTAGACGGCCAGGGTGTCGTTCTTGGTGATGTGCGGCGGGAAGATGGAGCCGTCCGACCCTGAGATGCTGTTGCATTCGTCCGTGGTCCAGTGCGGCAGCCGCTCGCGCATGTTGTACCTGGCGTAGAAATGACACATGAAACATGGGTAACTGAACGACTGACGCCCGGTTTCTGAAACACTGATCACCGTAGATGTGAACTAATCAGCTGTCATATGGCTTTTCAAATTTCGTTTTAGTTGCCAAAAGGATGGTTAAACTCTCTGAATTGACCAGAATGATCTCTTAATGATCAGAATGATCAATTAAAATAGTTTAACCATCCTCTTGGCAACTGAAATGAAATTTGAAAAGCCATTTGACAGCTTATTACTTGACATCTACGATGATCAGTGTTTCAGAAACCGGGCGTTAGTCTTCAAACTCAATGGGATATACCTACCATTAATTGATTTTTTCTGCGCGAGTTGTCATAAGAGACGTGAAACATGGCAACTAAACAACGCTCAAGTCTTTAAACTCGATACTGACGCTATTGAAATTTCCTCGAGCCTATTTGGTCCCTAGTTTATTTCGCCTGTTTCTTCCCCGTTAGAGGATCCTCATTAGGAAACGGTGGTAGATTTAAAAAATGACTATCGATAGATGAAATGTATATTTCTTACTTTGATGAATAAATGATTTCATTTGATTTGACAGGCGTTGAACTGGACGCGCCACAGACATCCTTGTCTGTTTGTGAATTGTTAATTTTGCAAATGTGATTAACGAAAGTAGACTGATCGGAATCAGAATAATTCAAACTCATGAACGTAAAAAGCTAAATTAGACGCTCCAGCTATAAGTTCATCGCCGTTTAAACAATTTTATATGTATAGGATGCTAGTGTTAATTACTATTATATCTATGTGGGAAGACTTTGTTTAACAGTGGACTCTAACTAGATATCTCGTTTGAAATTTGAACTGTAAACAAATCTAAGTTAAATAACGGACGTTTAGAAAATATTTCATATTATGCGAGCCTACATGCTGGCATATTTGTTAACGAGGTTCTTATAAAAAACAAATTTTAATTAAAATAAAATAATGCTATAATATTTGTTACAAAGCTGTAGTTTAGTTTGTGAATCCGATCAGTAATTTCCAGAATATAAAATGGAACATTTTTTATCTCGATTCATTAAAAAGGTATTATAGCGCAAAGGTCACATATATAAGGAAAATCTAAATCAAATTACTTAAATAATAACGCTATCCGTTTTCATAATGGACTCTTGAATGTTTTAAGTTTGTGTGTTGCTTATAGAAATTTTTTATGTATGTACTCGATATAAAATTGATATTATTGAGGTTTCCGAGGTGAAACCGAGAAGGTCACCGACGAACTAAAACGCATCTAAGGAAGTAGTACAAATAGTAAGTATTTAGTATATAAATAAAAAAAAATAGTATTTAGAATGGCAATATTAGTATTTATTACTAGCAGCTCGGACATACTTCGTTATTTTTATATTATTAAAACCTTCCGTGGACCTTAAGGAACATACAAAAAAATAAAATAAGCCGAATTGGTCCAGCGTTTCTTGAGTTATGCGCTTACCAACATCCATTGTTATTTATGAAGATAAAACATTGGCGCTTTATAAATATTTGCGCGAGCCCTTGTATTTTAACCCTTTAGTCCATGAGAAGCTGGGAAGTCTTTAAGGTAACGTTATCTCATTTCAATGTAATAGTGAAAACACTTCTAGTTTACGCCGGACGTCTGCTAGGCTGACGTATTACTCCCTGATGTCGATCTATTTGTGCATTAAGAGCTGCTATGCAATCTGCCGTCATTCTACAACTATGAAAATGTTCGGATTGGAGAGACGGGTGCATGAAAGGCATTAGCAGAAGGTGCTGCAGTCCTGCACAATAGTACAACTAACCCCTTACCTGTCGTAAATGCCGTAACGGGTGATATCGTTCGCGCCGGAGAACATCGTCACGACGTCCGGTGACGTGCCGTTTTTCTGAAAATAACATTCCGTATTAAATTACCCGAACAACGCTGTGGTAGGGCCACGGAACAGAATACCCGTTGCACGAATGGGCAGGTCCGTCCAGGTAAGCGCCACGCCCTCGCAGAAGAACAGCGTGAAGTGTAAGTGTCATACTTCTGTCTGGCGAGTGAGGTAGCCGGGGCCCACTTTATTAAAAGTTGCCAACGCATCTAAGTTGCAGAGTTTTACGGGTGTTGCAAATGTCAATGGGTGGCGGTTATCACTTGACATCAGGTGCACTGCCAGGTCGTTTGCCACCTTCTTACATAAAAAAATAATAATAGTTCAAATCGCAATTTCTTTATAGAAACTGGTCTGTACGCATATTTTATGCCGTAGGATTATTCGTGGCGATGCAGTATAAGCTTATACAAGTCAAATCACTATGGAAGACGACAAGGTTATATTCGTATGGAACACTAGGGTTGCCAACATATATTCGGCTGAGTAAAATATTTTCAAAATAACCTCAAAAAAAATAGCACACTGCAAACAAAGCATTTTGTGGACTTATATAATTATTCAACATCACGCTCACCCAAAATATGAGACTATACTATATAATATGGTACGGTTAGCAACCCTAGGAAAGACGGGGGCTAGCGGTTCCATTCCTTTGCCTTACGCGTAATGAGCGAAGAATCAAAACCGCTTGAATGGGATGTCGACAATAACAGGAAGAATTCCCGCCGAGCGCGTAGTTTTCCGATAAAAAGAGGAGGGAGGAAATTACTACTTATATTATTTTGCCACCGTGTATTGCACAGTCTTGCACTTAACTGTTGTTCATATTCGCATGACAAAACTTTTTTCAGTAATGTAAATTAAAGTCATTTTTTTTAATTTGTCAATAGAAAATCGATGAATGGTAACTCGGGATCGTGCTTCGTGTAGGTCTGTCGGGAAGGCCTATCTTCAGCAGTCATCACGGGCTAAAATTATGATGATGATGATGAATGTCAATTTGATAACTCACCCCGTAGAAAAGTCCGAACTCTTCATAGGGCAGCTTCTGTTCTTTTGGCACTACGTCCTTGGCGAGTTTCAACAGGGGGTCCTCGTATCCCCACAGCAGCTGACCCACGGAGACCTCGACGAACGGCTTGATCTTCAGGATGTCCATGATTGAGGCCATGGCGAGACGGAGGAATCGCGCCGCATGCTTGGACTGCGACGTAGCACTCTGGAAGAAACGTAGAGTAGTATATATAATTATATAAGGCTTATGGAAAAACAAGTACAATTTTTTAACAAAACACACATCTCAATCATAATACGCTTCCATTTGATTTTTCTACGAAGTCAAAGATCCAATGAAATTAATATGGGAACTAAACCGAACCTATGATCTAAAATCAGTTTATAAATGATGACGTAGTTCTGATGTATCCAACATAAAAAATAAAAAATATATAACTACACAACCTACTCCTTCTTTATAATCGGCTGAAAAATAGATATTGAAAGAAGCCCTGGATGATATACAATAAATGTGAAATTAAATAGATAGGTTTGAAATGGTTAACGTTGTCAGTTTTGAATTGGGTCTAAAGAAACCTGCAATTATTTTTATAGGTAAGAAGGTCACATTTTAATGCCTCTGCACTCAAGATGAAACTGCAAATATGAATTTTTTACAGATAAATTTGGTGATACCATGCAAATTTATTTACTATCTCACTATTAGTCAGACCGTCTGAATGCTCGCGGCCTCCATTATAACGAAGGGCCAGAAACCGTGGTCTGTGAATTTCTTTTTGAATATATATTTTTATCGATTCATTCACCTTTTTCTTATTTTCCTAAAGAGTCTACTAACTATTTGCGCCACAGGACGCCATATTCTTGCTTTGTGCTTGTTATAGACGATCTTAAATACTCTTAATAAATACTAATATCCGTCCGCGATGTTTGTTCCTAAGACGGTAGGTGCTATTACTATAGCTCGTGTTTATAACACTAGTCTTTATTTTTCCATGACAATGTTGCAGCGGATGCTAGCTATCAACTGATAAAAGACCCTCTGGTCTTTATAAAAGAGTCATGTCAGTTCATAGCTTTTAATTTTTATGCAATTTGCTTGGTGTCGGATGTATATTCGTACACGTGTCGTGTTGTAATCAAACTATCTGATAATACGAAATCGTCGTGCAAAATGATCTAGTAACAAGCTAATTTTATTTAGCATAATTAACTATTAAGTACCCTAGATCAGAAAATCTAACGTCTTTAGCGGAACTCAGGAAATAGGCTATAAATAGAGATCAAACGTTCTGCGATTTAGTTACTTTTGCAATTAAATTGATTTTATTATTTTTAAGTGAGGTAGCCGGGGCCCTCTTTATTAAAGATTAGCAACGCATATACAACTCTACGGGTTTTGCAAATGACCATGGGCGGCGGCTATCAATTAATATTAGGTGAACCGCCAGCCAGTCGTTTGCCACCTTCTCACATAAAAAAAAAATAATAAATTTGGAAGCAAGAATCCAAATGATATACGATGTACAAAGCGAAGGTGAGAATTAATAATCTGTGTACAAGAAAATATTTGTCGAATTGATACACAGGGTTCACAGTTATGAAATTTGGCAATAAAGTCAACAGTCTCGATCAGCACGTTTTATCACGATGACACAATCAACTCAAAAAAACAAGAAACCCCTGTTGTTTAAGGCCCATTTACACGATGCCATTTTCTTGTACATACAAGAGCCATAATTGAATGCAATAAGTTGCACGCAATAATTGACCATCAAGAATTGTAAGCAACAGTTTACACGCCGATATAGTAAAAAAAATTGAATGCGATTATTGAATGCAAGTCTTGACATGAAATAATTGCAAATGTCTTTTGTTTACACCAATGCAATTATGTTTAGGCGATTATTGCTTTCAAGTTTTGACTTGTCTAATTACAAGCTTGTATGTGCGTGTACAATTTATTGGCGTGTTGCTTCAAGTATTGCACGTATTTGCGTTGACAAATTTTTCATGCAAGTGTTGAACGCTTTACAAAGGGTTATTTTTTTTAAAAAAATGACTCAATAATAAGTGTTGAAATTAGATTATGCCGATTAAATATATTTCATTGAGATTTATTTATTATGATCCATATATTATTATTCATATTTTTATCCAACTTTTTTACGACCTTTTCTCAATATTTCTATCCTCAAAAGAACAGCAACGATTAAATACCCTTACTCGTTGCACTAATTTTTGCAAAGGAAGAGAGAATGCAATTGAATACAAGAATTGCTTGAGAAATTATAGTGTGTGCTGTTTACACCAAGAAAAGTTTTGAAACAAAACTTGAAGCAAGTCTTGTTCAACAGTCAAGAATGTTATGTGTTGTTTAGACCATGCAACTCATTTATTGCTTCAATTTAATTGTATACAACAGGCAAGAAACTGGCACCATGTAAATGGGCCTTTACACTTAATTACCACTTACTTCCGTGCTACTGCCAATATAAGGATATTCTTGTTTAATTCGAAAGGTTTTAACTGTGACCATCATCCGTAGATTTATGTCAAAACTTTTGAATGTGACAAATAATTATGCGAAACCAAATAACCGTGCTGATTAGTAAAGCTGTTTTCATTTAAAAACCAATAAAAATGAAATTAGTAAAGCTGTTTTCAATTTAAAACGAATAAACAAACCATACGTCCAACTCTAACGCGGTCAGGTTTCCTAACACTTAATTTAATTCTGACCCGTATTTAATAGTAGCAATCTCTATGCTATCATTGATTTCATTACTTATAGCAATAATGTCAAAGACATTCCAATTAGCTGTTTCAGAATATGTTTTAGGAAGTAATTATAAAAGCTAGTAAAATTGTCAAACATGGCTAAAGAGCTACCGTAGTGGACTAGTGGTATTGATCAATGAAAAAGGTTTTTTTTTCGAATATCATATAAAATTTACGTTGCGTACGCGTTGTCTTGTGAATATTTTTAAACATACTAACAAGGCATGACTTTGTATGCAAAAGTTTAAAAACAAAAGGCAAAAAGCTCGCCCGTACAAATAAAGTGATAATAAAGTAGGAAAAATAACGTGTACTGAGGTCGACGAGTCACGACTTCCTGAGATCAGACCTTGACTCGGCATGCCTCTTAAGTCGTTGTGAAGGCAAGGTAATGTGTGTACCACGGGATTAAGTTACTCCTGCCGTTGTCCACTGACGTATGGCCAAAATTTTAAGATGGTTGTAGTGTTTTTAATCTTACGTTTTATCCATGAGACGCTTCTCCTTGCTTAAAGATAGACATCGCCTCTCAAATGTTCAAAATTCAAATGCAAAATATCTTTATACACATAGACACTGGCGCGTTCTTATGAAACGACAAAATTTTACATGAAAATTAATACATTCTTAAGTAAGTTACCACAATGTTCAATTTCATGGCATGGTAATCATCACCTTCAGTGTCGCGAACCACTTGCTTGTTTGCTTTTTTATGTCAGAAGGTGGAAAGCGAGCTGGCGGTTCGCCCGATGTTAAGTGATATTCACACCCCATGGACATTTGCAACATCCGTAGCGTTTCAGATGCATTGCCATTTTTAATAAAGTGGGTCCGGTTACCTCGCTCACTCAGAAGTATATCATTTCCACCTTACGCCGGTCTTCTGTGAGGTCGTGGTACTTCCCCGGGCGGGTAGAGAAGATTGTTCCGTGGTCCTACCGCAGTTATAAATTTCCTTCTTTTATGGAAACAAATTAGTCGGACGGACACAGAAGATTGTTGCGTGATCCTACCACAGTTATAAATTTGCTACCTTCTTTTATGGAAACAAATTGATTCAGCAGGCTTAAACCAATTGCTGACAGAGTGTTGTAAATATTTAAACTCAAAGCGGACTCAACAATTGCGCAACGGAATAATTTCGTTACAATCTTCAACGGTTCCGGCGCTCTATCCGTCGAACCTGTACGAGGTCGTAGCTAAGTCAATTTTTTGTATTTAATCGCCCCTCATGAGCACTTCGTAATTTCAAAAGTGGGCCCATTCATAAGTGTCACACTATTGCAAAATCAAAGCGGGTCAACTGCGGTTTCGCGCACTTTGGTCGCGACTTCCGCAAATTACGTAAAAAAAAATTCGAGATTTCGAGCGATTCGTGAACTTTTTTAACATTTCGACAGTGAACATGTGTAGTAACGCGTGCATGTTAATCATAATAATATTAATTCATTTGAAATATAAATCGATAATTTTAGTATACAGAAATAAAACATAAGTTACAAATAACACATAAAATATATCGAATATTGTAAATAAAATGATAATAACACCTATACGTGCAACTAACAGTCAATGGTCAATCCAAAGTCCAAAACATTTGGGATGGTGTTATTAATGAATTAGGAACTTTTTGCAGTTTCCAATTATTACTTACTTATAAGTGCGCACTTAATAAAGCGTGTAAGTTAATAAATGCTATTAACTTTAATAAGTATATTATTTATTTTAGTCAAATTTTAACTTTACTACTACTACAACGGAATAACCATACGCGCGATACATAACATAAAATTTCTACTATTTCTATTTTGCTTCCGCGCTACTCAAAAAGTAAACTTAAACCGTTTGCATATTAAATGGAGCTAGTTTACGTGATTTTATCGCGTTTTTTATTTTGATTTGAACTCCCGACGTTTCGAACCCTTTCCAGCGTTCATGGTCACGGGACAGACTAAGTTGTTATACGTCTTGATGTCATAGTTAACCCCGGCTACCGTCAATTGTTTATCATATTAAACAGTTTCCGTTGAAGTTAAGACGTTATCTGTTTCTAAACCTAGAAATGTAGGTGCAAACGTGTATACCACTTTAGAACTACAATTAACACGCTCGTGTTACTTCGTCGTGCTAACAAGACACGTATCTATATTTTTTCGTGGAATCTTTACGATACGGCGGAGATTTTCTTCTGTTATAATGTGCAATATTCAATGCACCGATTTGCGGTGTGACGTGCGTCATATTAATGATATGGTCGAGTCGTTCTGCGGTCAGATAAGGCAGCGTCAGGTAAATGTGGGTCGACACAATAGAACAAAGAGGCGTTAGAAGAAACTTGTGATACCAAACAATCTTATTAGCATTAAAGAATCAAATGATAGTCAAATGTTAATTGAAGATGAAGATAAATAGCGACGTAGG